TACTTAACCATATTAATTTTCCTGTGCGGTGGGGGTCATTACCCACCCCCTAAATACAAAATAAGCACATTCTAACTTATAGACCCTAACCCATAAGTTGTGACAATTTAAAATAACATAAACAATACATCAATCATTAACCTAAGACCCATACCCAATGTCAAATTATGCATTAATCTCAGGGAGGGCAAGAAACCCAGGAGAGCATCCTGGGGGAAAATTCCCTCCCGGCCCCTGAAGGCAACCAGCCAAAGCCTGAGAGTAACCAAATAAAGCTCTTTAAATACGGGTGGGTGGGTTGGGTCACTCAATTCAAGCTCTAAAATGGTTGCCGCCACGTGGCAGTGCAGAGCTATAAAGCACAAACTCTCATCCCAAGTCTCGGGAGATTACAGGCACCATGAGAATTTGGGATATGAACAAAGCAATTTGATTGGACCAAGCGCACAGGTGCTCAATACCCACCACATACTTAACCAATAAGGCCTCTCATGTCTTAATATGGCCAGCGCAACAAGAAACCCCTCCTGACTCATCAGGAGGTGTCTTACTATTTAATTATTTAAGATAAAGAAACAGAAAGGGACAACCTCCTGGTGTCAAGTAAGGGTAGGAGAAGAGACCCACTCAATCTTCATCTGCCCCATTTCCACTGGTTTGGGAGGCCAGGATACTGACTGGTCCAGTCTGGCAATAGAAGAAGGTAACTGGAAAATGTCTACCTGTCAGTCTCACCAGACCAACACCCTGACTTTCTCTACTCATTTCCATTTGGGCTAGGATGGAGTGGGTGGGAGGAGGTCCCTAACTGGCTCTGAAGGCAAAACCTGCTGATGTAGAAAGTACTCAGAAACTCTATATGGAAACTCTATATGGTCCATTTCCATCTCAACTGGCAGGAGAGGACTAGCCATGACTTTGGGGAACCTTCTTTTGGAGTAATGGATAAAATGTGTTTTTGTTTCAGCTTTCATATTTCTTCTTTAATTAGGCCTTAATGTGAATTATTAGTTGAATGTATGAGCATATATTTATTACAGTGAGATCCTTATTGTATGACAATTTAAATTTTTAACTTTCATTGTTCTTAAATGATCTAGAAATGTGGCTGTTTTATATTATGTAACTATTTTCTGATAACACCATAAAGTTGATTTGCACATGGTTTTGCTATGGAAAAGCAGCATACACATAAAGGTGTTACTGAGTATAGGCACAGTTGAATTATATTTGATGCTACAAACAGCTCCCCAAATTTAGACTCCCCAATCCCTGAGGAAAGCAGCACCTTTTGAACACATGTATCTCTAACAGCTGTTAAGGACACAGTACTCTGTGAAAAGATGAAAAGGGAAATGAGAAGGATGATGAGGCAAAACAAATGTGCACCTTTACTTCACACAGAAGAAGAAACCCAGCCTTCTGTTTTCTACTGGCAAAACAGTTTTTCCACCAATGATGCAATCGTTCCACAGTTGTGGGATTGCCTTCTTCTGTGAGTGGATAAGAATAGGACATTTTCAGTCAGATAATTATAATGTTTTACTCAGTAATGAAAATCTAGGAAGAAATAGGGTGGCATTTCTGAGAAGAGATATAACAAAATCAGTCACAGGATCTAATTCTGACTAATCATTTCAATAAGACTTCAGGAAATATCCATCAATATAACCTTAGTCCAGGTTTATGCTCCAACTGTAGAGGAAGAAGAGGAAATCCCATACTGGAGTTCAGGAAGAAATTAATTACACACTAAAACAAGACTTTTGTTAATAACAGGTGATTGCAATGCAAAAATAGGAAACAGAACAGAATTAAAGATTGGGGGAAATTTAGCCTAGGATCAAGAAATGAAGCAGGAGGCTCACTGGTTGAATTTTGTTGGGACATCAGTTTGTTCATTGCATAAAATTGCAGAAAGTCTAAATCTGGTTGTTGGAATTTGGGGTACTAGATTATGGCAATCCAAAGAGAAAAAAAAAGATGGAGAGGAAAATGAGGAACATTAAAAAAGTAAGTATGGGAGTAAAGTGAGTAAATACAAAAGATGAAAGAGAACTGACATGACAGAGAAAAGGATAGAGAAACAGAGAAGAAAAATCACATTGGTATGATGGGGAGAAATGATTTTGTACAGACTGAAACAATACAACATAAAGAGAAGGAGAGAAGCCAACATAAAAGAAAAAGTTTTTGTTGTGTGGAGTGCAACCTCATTCTATTTATGGATTTTGCTACTAAATCCATATAACAGAAACTGTGTGTCTGCTCCATATTCATTGCTTTGATGCATTCCCCCAACTGAGCTGGACTACTAATTCAGTTATGGATCTTCTCTTAGACCTCAGTTATATCACTCCTGTATTTTCATGTTCTTTGTGCTTTTGGCAACTTGATTGGGAAGGGACTGAGCATTTTGTACTTTATCCTAGACATTTTTGTAAATTTCAAGTTTGGTTTTGCATTTCTGTAGCCTTTGTTCTTCCAAATAATGAACTTCGTGTTTTTAGGAGAACAGAAAAGTAATGTAATAATTCCAGTGTGTGTGTGTTTGGTGTTGTTGTTGTTGTTGTTGTTGTTTGAAATGAAGGTGACATTTCTTTTTTAAAAAATGCAAAAAAAGCCACCACTGGATCATGAAGCAGGAGATTTAGTTTGGATGAAGAGTAAAAGAAAAAATGTTTCCATAAAAGAACCAATCTTAAGGTAACAGTAATGTCTATGAATAGGTGACTTAGTACATAAATCTTTACAACTCACTTTTTCTTATATCTTGTGGTAAGGAGAAAATCCATTAAAATCACAGCTCCTGATATGAAAGTATTTCATATGAAAGCTTGAGTTTTGAACAGCACAGCTCTTTGTAACATGTACTTCAAAGTTTTAATCTAAATTCTGATTCAGTGTTGCATAAATTATAGCTTTAGAACTGTCTCTTGCACTAGTAACCATTTAAAAAAGACTCTCCTTTAATTCATTCACATAAGTAAAGATGATTATGATAACACAACTTTTTATATCCCTTGTACAATTGAGATTTTAAATATTATCTCATTTTTTAAATAAAACTGTAAATTTATATTGTTTTGAATATTATTTCTGTGGCCAAGCTCTAGTGACATAGTATGGCGAGTAAGTAAATACCAGATAAACAAATATTAGAATGGCCTTATTCATTTGGATAAAATAAATTTAATGTTGAATGTCACTGGAGTGTATCCGACTTATGCCTGTTCCTTATGGATTATCAAATAAATAAGGTCATTATCCTGTTTTGAAATTCAGTCATATTGCTACAGTGTGTGCACTAACGCTATAATCTTCCACAGGATTAATTTGTTCCAATCTCATTCAAATAAATAGGACTGGACCATCCTAATTCTGTGCAGGATTGCAGTTTAAGTTTCCATAATACATTTTGGATTTATATTCTGCAATCATTTCAAAAACTTACTTGTAGTTTGGTGGAACAAATACAAACAACCATTTCCCATTTTTAAAAGTTACTAATATATGTCTCAAGGATTAGTGTTATTACTTGGACTGGGTTGCCATTAGCATGTGTGGTTGCATGCTAAGAGCTTTCTGGTGCTTTGATCAAAACTGAAGACTGCCTTAGAAAAATATAAGCTTAACAAAGTGCCAAAAGCTTAATTCTTCTGTAGTAAATAATCTGTATGTCTGTGATAATATGCAAGACAGGTAATCCCCTTTCTAGTTGTTCAGAGGCAACTTTCCAACTTGAAGAGTTGGAATCTTTCTAACAGCCATCAAACCAAAATATTTTCCTTGACTTCACTCAGGGTCTTAATACTGTAATATTAAAAAGAATCCAGGCACATGAAGCCTCTAAACAGGAAGTTTAATCAGTATGGATAGAAATGTTTAGGGAGCTGAGTGTTTAGTTCAGCTGCCAGACTCATACAGTTCCTCTGTCATCTTGTATTTTGGAATACTGATTTTTTCTTTGTAAATAATAGATGGGCAAGGTAGCCTGTGGCCCCTGTCTGTGGGGACAGAAAAAGCACTGAAGGGATTTCATTAGTGATATGTCTTTCACAGACAAGCTCACCTGGCACTATGCTATGATATTTTTGACTCCTGGCAAATAACTTTTTAACATCCTGTAAATCTAAATTTTATTTAGAATTTTTGTTATCCTCTAGACAGTTGTAACCTAGGCTTATGAATTTGTAACTGTTTGGCATTCACATTTACGATCATGGCACCATTGCCATGTCTGCAAATACCCTTCCCCGACTCACCTTAAAATCCAGGCAGCCATACTGAGGGATAGGAGTTCTGAAGAGCTGGGAAATGCAGAGTGAAGGAGGATGTACCCAGCAAGCAAGCAAGCAAGACAATGTAATGAGAAGTTGTGGCAAGGACCTGCTTCTGCTTGTCATACAGCTGCTTATTGATAGGAAAGGAGTGGATGCATTATCCTTTACTGCCCCACTCATCTGCACCACAGAACTCTATCCTTTGGCACAGCTGCATGGATTTTAAGATGGGTTAGGTCAGGAGGTTGGGTTGGGAGATAGCACAGTCATTACATTATAGCTAGTTATCTGATGCAAGATCTTTATTTATTTATTTTTATTACAATATTTCATATGATGGGATCTCAGGATAGCCTACACATAAAATCTGTTTAACCAGTTTGAAACACTATAAAATTTAAAACCATTAAAAAACCCTGTTAGTTAAAAAATTATTGATTACTCAGTCATATCAAAACAGTTAACACCAAACTTTGTAAAATGTGAGAGAGTAAAATGCATGAAATACAATGGAACAAGATAAATTAGACTAAAGTAAGATGAAATATAAATTAATAGTCATAAATTATTCTTTTAATTAGCTGAAAGATGGTAAAATACAAAAACATGTTTAGATATCTTCATCAGCTTTGCATGCACCCCCAATGTGTTCAGTAAAGTGTATTCTCAACTGAACAGTCCCACCCATGAATTTAGCAGTTCTAAAGACTACATAGAGGCAGTGTTGCATAGTGGTTTGAGTGCTGAACTACACCTCTGGAGACCAAGGTTCAATTCCCAGCTCAGCCATGAAGCCCACTGGATGACCTTGGTCAAGTAACATGCTTTCAGCTTCAGGGAAAGGAAATGGCAAACCTCCTCTGAAATCTTGGCAATAAAATCCTAAGATACATTCACCTTAGGTTCACCATTGTTACAAGTTTCTGTGGGCTCAGAGCCAAACACTGTGACACTGTTCTGGCTCTTTGCCCACAGAAACCACCATTAGAGGTCTTTTGGATCCCCTTTCCATTCCTGCTGAGCTGGATGAGACCACCTTTTTCCAATAGCTGCCACCACCTAGTGAATTACCTGATCCTCCCCCTTAGCAATACACCAGGACTTTGCTAAGTAATCTATAGTAATTCCCTTGCCAAATTAGTCAAGAACTAGCCAAGCCAAAGGCACATGAAAAAAGAGTGTGAAAGAGGCAATGTACTTTAAAGAAAAGCTGTATTGTAACTAAGGAATTGTAGAGCAAAGGATATCACTACAAGTAGGACTCCTTGTCCTACAGGCACAGAGAATTTAAATTATAGAATACAGTCATTTCAGCCAAGCCAATAAAATAACCAAAAATCCTAACGTCACTAACTAGTACATGTTCCTGATCTTACTTACAGCTCATTTGGGATTTGTAGTTGTAGATGTTTCTGGACAACTGGGAGCCTGGACTCCATTGTCCAGCTCTACCAGCACCTTATTATCTACCTCAGGGCAGACATCCCCCAAAGGCTGGCAAAGGAGGACTCAAGCCTTGTGTTGTAAGGGGGCTTCACTTTTAAATAATAGTTAGAAGCATCTTGAAAATTCCTGGTTCTGTCCAACTGCCCCCATCTCATTGGCTAGTTGGCATCTCATCTCATCAACATTTAACCCTTTGTTGTCTGGGAAGAAGTCCTCTTATAAATGGAGGACCCTATTTATCACAACCATAAGTTGGAAATGACTTAAAGGAAAACAACAACAATAATGTCTACATAAGTATTTGTGCCCTGATGGAAATAGGATAGCCATCTGTTGTGATCCCAATATGCAGTTCTAGCAAGTATTATCTGTAGGTACTGGGCCCTTACTGAGACATATATAGTTAACAGTTAAATATCACTTGCTCAATATTCCAGATGCTCCACAAATACATGTATGTGTTGTACATATAGCACTTGGTGGAAATGTTTGTGTGTGACCATGGGATCTAACTGGTCAAATCTCACTCTGGTTAAAGGTATCCTATGGTTTTGCATTAAACCCATTATCAGATATCTATCTATTTGGAAATACATTTTATTTTTTGCCAAGCATTTTAGTGACCTGATGTTTGCAAGTGCAACTACCAACCATTTCAGTGACCTGATGTTTGCAAATATCAGTTTGGGCATTCACATCCATGACTCTTTATTTAAATATTGCTGTGGGCTGATGTCCAAATGAAAACAAATATTGTGTTGAAAATCTGAGTTGTGAGATAATTTGAAGAAGCTGATTAATCCATGAAGTGCTTTGAAGTGTGCCCATTTGTTCTACCAGGTACATTTTTGGAAATCTGTCAGAGTCTATTGAAAGAATCTTCCATCAATAAAGTTAAAGACTTTAATTATTGTTAGACTGTAAGTGGAGTGAGCTGTTTCAGCTCTTACTGCTGCTACAGGAATTTTCTTGTTGGTCCTCAAGACAGTCCTTAAAAAGAGTGCTTCATTTTGTTTAAGTAGAGGGGCCTTAGATAGGTCCCACAATTCAGTGCTATATGTTAAAACTGGTATAATTTTTGCCTTATGGACTTTTTGGATGGGGAGCAAAGAAGTTGGGTGATTATAACTATTTTAATTAAGTTTTTAGAGCTTGCTATAACCTTTATGGAACTTTTTAAAAAAACTGATTGATCCAAGGCTTTGCATTCATAAAAACAACCCCTAGGTATGAGAAAAAAATCTACAGGGTACCCGCACACCCCATACGTGGGCTTGTCATCTGTGGCTTTAAGCTTATATGGCCAGCAAGCCTCGGATGTTACAGTGGTGCATGCATCTGTGGTGCGTGGCCATTGAAACAAATGGGACTTTAGGTCCCACATTTTTTTTGCCATATGTGGGGGATCCGAAACAGATCCCCATGTATACCAAGGGCCCACTGTATTTGCTTTATAGGCTCCCAATCCAAATACCAGTTGTGTTTGACCCATCTTTTGCTGAATACCATCACTCTGGAATTGGATTTGGATTTATTCAGGGACATCACGGGGGGTGGTGTACACTTGGAGGGGAGGTACACCCAATGGGACTAGTGCAGCTGCTCTGCAAATGAGAAAGGTTGTCACATCCATTTCTCACTTGCCCAGCAGACATGTAAGATCCTGAAGAGGCCACCTGGAGGCCTCAGCATTGCCCATCAGCAGTTGCTGATCTGGAATGTGCCTTTTTTTTTTTTCAGTTGTAACCTAGGTTTATGAATTGGCAGTACACCTACTTCATGATTTTGAAATGTAAACAAATTTAGATCTCATATACTCAAACTTTGGATTTATCTATAACATATGCATCTATTTTCCACATTTGGTACTATCAAGAACAGTTTAGAAAAACTAGAGTATACTTGATATCTTTTTCCAGATTATGTTTTGATGGTATAAAAAGATATTGTATGACAGTTGTTACACAACAGGCATATTATCTCTTCTTTTATTCCTCCTTTATAGCTTGAGTATTTTGTTTAATCTTTTTCATAGCCAACAGGAGAAACATTGAAAATAATAGGTGCAGGCTTATGTTTCAGGGAGAGGAAGGATACAGTAGATGAAACCCACCAAATCCCCCAACTCTGCTGGACCCATGCTAACAAAACAGAAAATGTTTCCTTTGCACTGCCTTTTTCTTCATTGCGCCTGCCTCCCATTTCATTTCCCATTGTTCCTAATGGAAGAAAAGTATACCAACTTTTCTCTTATTCTAGGAGTAGTAAAAAAAATAAGAGGGCTCTAGATTGGAAGAATCCCTAAGTTCACCTGGCCACTGCCATTGCCTTGGAACAATATGCTCTCCAACTGTCCTAATTGGAAGGGACAGCCCCCATTAATACAATGTCATCCCACTTCTTCAGATGTTTTAAAAATGACTCAGTTTCTCTTTCCTCCTCCCACCTTGCCCTTTGCGCTCAGCATGCTACAGTTGTTAGAAACTGAGTTCAAAGTGCAAAAGGAGTTTGTACTCAAACAACTGAACAGAGAGAGAAGAGCTAAAGTCTTGCCCTCACCAGTAGGCTCAGCTGAAAAGAAATTATTTCAGTCTCTCCTAGCTTGTGTGTTCTTCCTCATTAACTTTGCCATCTTGACCATACTCTTGACCATCACTTGCCTCGAAGACAATTTCATTGTTCAAAAGGTGGAAGAGGC